GTTCCACTGGTGGTTTTTAAGGTGTAAAAGAGAAAAGATCCATTTCTTGCTACTCTGTGTTGTACAGCTCAAGAAGTCCACATAAATGTTTCTAAATTAATCAGACAGTACTGGATTCCAGTGAAGAAGAAACTAAGAGTATATGATGTCATCATATAGCAATAAAACCAATTCACCTGTGAAGCTTATGAAGACAGGTATGTTATTTTAAAGATCATGTTTCATATTATTGGAATAAAATTTTGTTCATAAAATCATATAAATTCTCAGCTACACCTAACTTCCAAAGTGAAAATCTGCTATTCAGAGTTCAATTGTATCTAAAACTCTATTACTAAGCCATTTTCCCTCCTTTTGATTTTCTTTCATTTCTTGACCCTCTTAGCAGTCTTTGTCAGAGATAAAATGGCTATATGGAAAAAATGATCTAACAAATGCATTTTTGAGGGAAATGTTGGAATAGTGTGAGATTAGCTATGCGTTGTTCATCATTGTGTCCTGTCCCTTGCAATTTTGATGAGAAAACATAATTTCTCTCCTCTTCCTGATAACTCAGCTCCTAGTGGATGTTTATAAGAGAACTTGAGAGGTAAGAAATAGGTTTGATGTTGGAACATTTAAGGAAGCTCCATCTAGAAGTAAAATGTGATGAAAGAGCAAAGGCTTTGGAACTACATGGACCTGTGGCCCATTCAGAGCTTACTCAGAGTTTGGCTGTACAATTTTAGATAAGTTACATGATGTCTCTGAGTTCCAGTTTTAACACCTATAAAATGAGGATAAACAATACTTATCTGACAATTTTAGGTCAAATACAAAATTACATAAAATCTGTGAGGCTCAACAAGAGATGGAGTTTTTGTTATGGTTATTGTCCAAGTGGCCAATTTAGAACAGTCATTTTTAACCTCTGAGTTTTATCTAAGTGGTACTGAGCCTCCTAAAAATTTCCTCTTGGTAAATGGAAGAGTTCTAGGAGTCGTTCTAATCTATTTACACATAGTAGTGTATTAAATTTCCAAATGATCCTATTATTGTATCTATTTTACAGTCGAGGAAACTGAAGTATTAAGAATTTTAGTAACTGATATCTAGATGACCGAGGCAAGATGCAAACCCAGACAATCTAAATTCTGAATAAATATTCTTGATTACTTCTCTGTGTTAATACTTAATATTTCTAAGCTTCAGCTTCTGCATCTGTCCGAAAAGGTGGAAAATGATAACACTTACCTTATGATGTGTAAGGATTCAGTGAGACGATGCTTGTAAAGAGCTTAGAATAGTGCCTGCCAGATGATAAACACTCATTAAATGCTGACATGGGCTAGAATTTGGCTCTATTGCTCACTCGTTATGCAATCTTGGACAATGTCCTTTACATCTGTGAGGTCAGTCCCTTGGCTGTAAAATGGGGATACTAATTGGTACTACATGATGATGCTGTGGAGATCTAAAAAGCATCAACAGTTCATAGCTCTTATTAAAAGTGGTACCACTAAGGGTTTTTGGCTTGATTTCCTTAACACACTAGTCTTAAATAATAAAAATTACAGGGCCTTGTCTGAAAAAACTTGATATGGAATAAATAATGTCTTATGACAGTAATTTTAAAATGAGCCAATCTTCTAATGAGGTATTTAAGAGATAATTTCCCAAATATAGATTATATTTACAGAAAACTAGAAATTATATTAAACAACTAATTAAAAATGAGTAATATAATCCTCAACCCTGCTGGTCTAGTAGTTAAGATTCTGTACTTTCACCACTCCACCCGGTTCATTTCTCAGTCAGGGAACCACACCACCCATTTGTCAGTTGTCATACTGTAATGGCTGTGTGTTGCTGTGATGCTGAAAGCTATGCCACTGGGATTTCAAATACCAGCATGGTCACCCATGGTGGACAGGTTTCAGCAGAGCTTCCAGACTAAGACAGACTAAGAAGAAGGACCTGGCTACCCACATCTGAGAAAATTGGACATGAAAACCCTATGAATAGCAGCGGAGTATTATCTGATGTAGCGCCGGAAGTGAGAGGATGGCACAAGAAGACCAGGCAGGGTTGCTCTCTGCTGTACACAGGGTCGCTAGGAGTCAGAATCAACTCGACAGCACTAACAACAAAATACAATTCCTGGCAAAGCTCTTTATCTGAAATTTTATTCATTATCATAATACTTTGGATTTCACAGGAAAAACAAAAGTACCATGTGAGTCCTGCAGTAACATATTTGTTTATAAGAAATATTTTATAGATAAACAAAATTCCTATTGGAGAATGTTTCATTTATTTTGTTCCAATTCACAATCACAGATCATAATGTTTTATCCAAGGGGTAACGCAGATGTTAGAGTAACAAATTCATAAGTGAGAATGTTTGTACTGATATTTAATTTACTTAAAATCAATTATTACTCACCTACATGTCCAGGGCAACATGCTGAGCCTTAGAAATACAAAGATTAAAAAGTCATGTACTTTCTCTGTGAATACTCTAATCCTTTGTTTTTTCTGAAGTTCTAGCAAAAGATTGTCCAGCCATATCATTGGCTTTTTCTATAGAACATGCTTTCCTGACAGTGAATCTCATAATTTAGCATTTTTTGCAAACTGGATATGCTAAGAACTTCCTAAATTATCAAGACCTGTTTTTTTTTAATAGTTCTTCCCTCAATTTATCTCTTTCGTCTTGAATTTTACTATCAGCAATAAAAAGCAACCACATCTACGGCACCAGGCCACACCTACACTACTGTGCCCAGAAACCCTTCAGAGAAATGTCCAAGTGCATGGTTCATAAGTTTTACTTTCCACATAACTGCCAGACCTAATCCTGCTAACTTTCTGCCACTAAATAAGAAAGATCCATCCACTTTCCTTCAGTTTCCAATAACATATTCCTCATTTCTTCCCAAGCCTTCACAAGGAGTGCCTTTCACATCTGTATTTCTATCAATAGTCTGTTTATGACAATTAGGTATTCTCTAAGGTGATATATGTTTTTCTCTACCATGCTTCTTATTTTCTTCTGAGTCCTAACTAGCAGAGTTGCTAATATTCATATTTTTAATAACAGCCTGTTCAAGACAATCTAGGCTTTTTCTACCATGCTCCTCAAAATCTTTCAACCTCTCTCTATTGCCATACTCCAAGTCCAATGCCACAACAGTTAAGCATCTGTCACAGCATCTTCTCACTTCCAGGTACCAGGATCTGTAGTCGTTTTCTATTGTGATCATAAGAAATTATCACAAACATAGTGGCTTAAAACAACATAAACTTAGGAGTTCCCAGTTCTGTAGGTTAGCGGTCCAACGTGGGTTTCACTGGGCTAAAATCAAGGCATTGGCAAGGCTGTGTTTTTTTTTTTTTTCTGAAAGCTCTCAGGAAATATTCATTTCCTTGCCTTTTCCAGCTTCTAGAGACCACTTCCATTCCTTAATTCCCCGCCCTTTCCGCCATCTTCAAAGACAGAGGGTGCTTTTCACATTGCATTACTCTGATCTCCTCTGCTAGAGTCAGGTCTCCCCCTGCATCTCTGTTTCACATCTCTCTTCTACTTATAAGAACCCTTGTGACTATGTTGGGACACTGGGATAATCCAGGATGATCTCTCCATCTCTAGATTCTTAACTTAATCACAACTGTAAAGTTCCTCTTGCTAAGTAAGGTGATATATTTGCAGGTCCCAGGGATTCAGACATACAGATCCTTGGAGGGCTATTACTCTGTTTACCACAGAAGGCCAATACCCTGTCTAAAGACTTGAAATTACTTTCTAAAAACATAAGAAAAGACAATGTCAAAAATGGAAAAATTAACAGATTTGATCATGCAAAAATTAAAAACAATCTGTTCTTTCTTTCTTCCATAAAAGTAGAATTTTCCCTGGACGTATGTCTGCTCAACTGGAGACTACATTTGTCAGCTCCACCTGAAGCTTGGTATGGCTATGCGCACACATTTAGCCAACTGTATGTAAGTGGAAGTTACTTAGGTACCTTCTAGGATGTCCCTAATATAAAGGCAGGCTGCCTGCCCTGGAACGCCTCCTTTCCCCTTTCATCTATATATATAGATATATATGTAGATGTGCCCACTGGTCAGCTTTGACCATGGAGACAAGAAAAATGCTCTACGGCAGCTGTTGGCAAACTTTCCAGAATTGGCTAGATAGTAAATATTTTAGGCTCTGTGGGCTATATGGTCTCTGTTTCAACTACTCAACACTTCTATTGTAGTGCAAAAGTATCCACAGACAGGGGCCAGCTCGGTGGCGCAGCAGTTAAGTTCTCACGTTCGGTGGCCTGGGGTCCACCAGTTAGGATCCCGGGTGAGTACCTACGCACTGCTTATCAAGCCATGCTGTGACAGGTGTCCCACATATAAAATAGAGGAAGATGAGCATACATGTTAGCTCAGGACCAGTCATCCTTAGCAAAAAGAGGAGGATTGGTAGCAGATGTTAGCCCAGGGCTAATCTTCCTCAAAAAAAAAAGTAGCCATAGACAATATGTAAAACGTGAGCAGAGCTGTGTACTATAAAATTTTATTTGCTAAAACAGTTGGCAGGACAGATTTGGTGGTGGTTTGCTGACTCCTGCCATAGAGGGCAGAGGATCCATCAGAAAGAAGGAATCTGGATTCTTAAATAAGGTCCCCACTAAAGTGGACCACTGACATCAGGTACAATTTTTTGAGAGAGAAATTAACGTCTATCTCCCTTAAGCCAATGTATTTGTGGACTCTATCACAGTAGCTTAACCTCTATCCTCGTATCTACGCATCTACACACACAAAGTCACACATCAAATAGGATAAATGTTTGAAACCTGTCTGATAGTCAAGGATAATTATCCTGAATTAGGGAGTGGTTTTACTGACAAAGTCACTGAGGAAAAAATCAAATAATCTAATGGAAAAGTGGGCAAAGGACATGAAGAGGGAATTGCCTAAGAAGGAAATACAAGTGAAGACAAGTGAATACGAATAAATCAAATTGAATAAAGATTATTTTAATGTTCAGCTGTATAACAACGAAATGAAATTAAACATGGGGATACAAGTTTTCTCTTATCAAACTGGCAATAAAAATTCACTTTACAGAATATGCAGTATTTAAGCATATGAGTGAACAAGCTCTCCCATACTGCTAAAGGAAGTATAGAATGCTAAAACTTGTTTAAGAAATATTTGACAATATGTATTAAAACATTAAGAAACGTACATACATTTTGGCCAAGTAATTGCATTTCTTGTAAGTCTATTCTAAGATAATCATAAATATGCCTAGTATTACACAAGGTGTACATAACTGTATCATTTTATAGATTTAAGAAATAACTTATATTTTCAGCCACAAAGAAGAACTTTAATAAACTATGGAATGGCATTAACATGAATAAAACATTTTAAAGACATGGAAATGTGTTCTTGACACACTTCATGAATAAAAAGTTATAAAGTATATACCCGAGAATTATAACTTTTCACAAGAAAATGTACACGTGCCCCCAAATGGCAGCAACAAGGGTTATATACTAAGTGACTAGATAAGAAATCATTTTATTTCATATACTTTTCTATATTATCCAATATTTCTATTATAATCTGAATTATCTTCAATATCTGAAAATAGAATATGATTCAGCCATAAATAAGTTAGAATGCAAATTAAAAATTGGAAAATATTTGCAACCTGTTAACCAATTTGTTCAACAAACATTTATTGTGTATTCATTATGTGCCAAGCACTGTTTTAGGAAATGGAGATACAGTAATAAAGAAGTCAAAAATCCATGCCCTTATGGAGTTTACATTCTGGTAGGGCATATGGATAGCAAACAAGTAAATAAATGTGTTCTGAGGATAAGTACAGATAATGAGAATTTCTATGAATGAAATAAGATGTCTCCTGTGAGTTTTAGGTTGAGTCCTGAAAGATGAGAGAGAGCCAGCATGTGAACGGCAATGAGGACCAAGTTGCTGGCAGGAAAAAAACAAGTGCAAAACTCAGAAGCATCAGACAGCTTGGCAAATGGTAGAAGAATATATAGGCAGGTTTTGGGGGAAGGTCATCAAGAAGACAAGACCTCCAGTTGACCTGCGAGCTGGACCTAACAATTGGGAGACCCCCACCCGCTTCCCGTCTTTGGAATGTGCATTGCCTTCCCTACTCTCATAAGCTGCCCTAAGGTACAGCCCTGAGATAGCAATGTGGTAACGAGGCTATCTGGACTGGGTACATGACTAAACCCTCCCAGGGCCCGTGTGTACGTGACTGAATCCAGCTAAGGCCTCTATAAACTTTTAAGATTTGGAAGGTGGGTGCGGAAAACTACTTGCATTGCAGCTGCCCAGACAAGTCTTGTAAGTTCCTTGGTCATTAAAACTGCCACCTACCAATCCAGAGTGGTCTGTCTTATTCTTCCGTCTCTCCTTGCCCTCTGTGTAGAGGGGGACCAGTTTCAGATTATAGCCGGGAAGGTCCTGGGGAGGTTGTGTAGCTACACAGGCAGTGTGAACAAGGAGTGTTGGGTTTGAGATGAAGTTAAGAAGTAGACAGGGCAGAAAAAGGAAAGATGTGTAAGGCTTGATAAGGAGTTTGGTTTTTTCCTAATTCAAAAGGAAACTATTCATGGCTTTAAGCAGAGAAGTGGCATCTAATTTATGTTTTTCAAAAAGGTCATTATGCCTGTTATCGTGGATTCTTATTAAGTGTTGTTTAGAATAAGGGTTTAGTGGGTTTTTTTCTTGAAGAGGAATTATGTGTAATTTTTGTACTAGTCTATATTTCTTGAAAACTCTACAAACAACAGGTTGTATTTTTGTAACAACTGTTTTTATATTTACATAATATAATTGTTATTTTTATAGTCAGAAAAATGGTTATTGAAGAAGTCCAAAGCAACTTCACACAACACATAGATGATACAGTTTAAAAAAAGGTTTTGGAATTATATGTACATATCTGAGCCACAACTTTGTTTTACCACTTTCAAGCTTCATGACTTTGGACAAACCAATTTCTTTTATACTCGGTGCCCTCATGTGTGAAATGGGGATAATACTGCATATTTCAGAGTGCTCTTGTAAGGGTTACAGAACATATAAAATAAACATGTATTGTGAACATGTATTGTGAAGTATTGTAATTACTACTACACACTACCGTAACTGCTTCTAGGTGGAACCAAAACAGCAACAATTTAGCTCTTACTAGGTGATAATCTCTCTGCTTTTTACTTTACGAGATTTTATCCCCATCATTTTACAAGCACAGCAAACCAAGAGGAAGATACTACTGCTACTCTCATCTTACAGATGAGAAAATTGAGGCCTGGGAAATTTGTTCAAATCACTAAGTTGGTAGGTGGCAAGTCCTGTATGATTCCAGAATCTAAATTCTTAGTGACTATGCACGTTCAAGACGTTTAGCTCTCTTCATCTTCTAGCGTTGTTATTCTAATTTACAGAAAAACTCTCCTTTGTATGTAATAAGTGTGCTAGAATCTTTATGCAGAAATCTACTCATTTAGCGTTACATATTTCCCTGAAGTCAACCACAAGATGGCCTTTGCCTGTGATAATTAGCCAGGATATATATAGGACTGTCTGTTACTGTGATCAACATTTCAGGGCATAAAAAGACTAGTAAGGCTTAATTCATCATGGCTTTGAGAGTCTCTATTTTGGCTGCAAGGATAAGACAGAACAATCACAATACAAGTTAGCTTGTCATACAAGAGTTACACAATGCTTAGGGGAGGGAGTAAATACTTCTGCTGTAAGAATTCAGATAGACTTTCTAAGAGAGGTAGCTTTTTAAGACACCTTCGACAAAGGATGGACAGGCAGACAGAGGAATGAAGCAGAAAATAAGTCATAAATGAAAAAACACAATAATCTAGTCTGACGATCTCTGTTTGACCATCTTTGTTGGGAGTTTAGGAAACAATTTGTGTCAGAGATGCAACCAGGAGAAAAGAGCCAGGATGTGGTGAGCTTTGAGTGTCTTAACAGGCAGATAACTTCCAAAGGTATTCTTACAAAAGAGAGGCAATTAATCCTCCACTTCAGGAAGATGACTCTGCCAACTATAGAGAGAATTGAAAGAATGAAGACTGAAAGTCAAGATGGGATAGAGTGAGCCATTAGGGAAGAGGTAATGAGGGGTTGAAGGTGATGAAAGGTAAACAGATGACAGGTAAGGGTATGGGATTTAGTTATGATGAGTTTCAGGTGGTGGTAGAATGTGACGATGCCCGTCAGAAAGTGATAGTTTCTAACAAAATAATCTTCAATGTCTAAGTACATCAACTGTAAATAGCACTTCAGCAAATCAGGGCAGAGGAACGTAAGATCAATTCTATACCTAAAATTCCAGAAAGTTGCTTTCCCTGATAACAGGAGATGATACTTGCATATTCAAATATCACATAGCTCAATTCAATCAAAAACAATTATTTTCTCAAAGGACTATAATATTGAAAGGCTTTTAGCTTGAACTACATAAATGACTGGAAAAACACAATAGTTCCAAGCCCTGAGATTTATTTTTATTTGCCAAACTACTTGTTATTTTATAATTCCCAATTTTCTAGGGACTTATCTCAATCTAGAATAAAAGCTAGCATTTACAACTATCGTCATTACATAATTGTAACAGCAGAATCCAATTCTCTTTCTAACAGTTGTACTAATCGACTAATCTAGTAGGAGTGCTGGATTTAAATGTTAGGCCCAGTAGGAAATCCAGAATAATTGGTCTTGCTCCGTACAAACTTCATGGGAGTTTTATGATAATTGTTGAACATCTCTGATTAAAGACTTCAAAAGGGAGCTGTCATTCTTGTGACAATTGCTATATTATTAAAAGATTTGCTTCTTTGTGTTAGAGATTCTATTAAAAAGGGGGTCAAGTTGGGATCCTCAATCACCTCTGTAAGAAACGTGGGTTCGGCTAGGGCATAAACTTCATTTATGAAAATATTAAAAAGCTAACAATAAGTCCTATGGAACAATGTTATGATTTTACCAACTTTAACAGAAAAAAAAACCTTTAAATACAAAGCAATACAGTGTTTGTTTATTTTCTATTGCAGTTCTTATTTCTAAGAACGTTAAGTACATTTTAAAAGCACAAACAGATAAATAATTCTGTAATCTAAAATTTCAAATCCTAAAGCAAAGAAAGGATTGACAAAATATACTCCCATGCAAAGAACTGCCATTTATCACCATTTGGGGAAAATAGGAGTGTGTGTCTATGTGTGTGTGTATCCATACACATAATACACATAATGTACTTGACTCGTACACAAATGGCTAAGTTGGAAAAGGCCAGACTTTGAAAACTGTTCCTAGAAAATGGATTTATTCAGGAAAACTTGTATATGTGTTACTGTACATACTTTTATATACCATAAGAATGGTTATGAACACAAGACCATTTCGTTTACTTTTTTTTCCAGAGAGGCCTTTCAGTATATGTTTTCTTTAGAATATTCTTAGAAAGAATTGAAGTACAAAGCCATAGAAAGCAATAGTATTTCAATATATGTCACACAGTAAAGTGAAAATCATCACTCTAGCTCTTTTTTTTTTTTGAGGAAGATTAGCCCTGAGCTAACATCTGCTACTAATCCTTCTCTTTTTGCTGAGGAAGACTGGCCCTGAGCTAACATTCTTGCCCATCTTCCTCTACTTTATATGTGGTATGCCTGACACAGCATGGCTTGACAAATGTTGTGCAGGTCCATACCCGGCATCTGAACCGGTGAAGCCGGGCACCCACAGTGGAACGTGCGAACTCAACTGCTGTACCACTGGGCCGGCCCCCACACTAGCTCTTTTTAAATCTCCTTGTTTCTGGTAGCTTTCCCTAATTCTTCTGTCATTAACTCCTGCTTGGGTTTTTCAGCACTTTTCCTACAAAGCAAATTTTTCTCACGTGAGTTTTGAATTGTAGGTTCCTGGGCTAACTGACAAGATGTATTTATGACCACGTTGTTTTTAGCTCTTAGGGCGTAGTCTCCCGTGGGCTTTGCTCTTCTTTGGCAGAGCTGGAAGTGAAAAGCATCTTGGAAACCCCGGCGAAAATTCTCATTGAAAAAACCGTAAATGATGGGGTTGATGCTGCTGTTGCAAAAGGCCAGCCAGTGTGCAAAAGGGTAGACGTAGACATGGATTACCTGCAGTTCACTTGGAGACAGGTCAGCATAGTCTGAGAGCATCATCAGAGTCCACAGGGGCAGCCAGGAAAGAATGAAAAGCAGGGCCACCATCAGAAGCATCTTAATGATCTTCTGCTTCTTCTTGGAAGCCACATGCCACTGCTCCTGGTTCTCCTTGCCTGTGTGGGGCACTGTCATCTTGAAGAGTGAAATTCCAATCCTTCCATACATGATGACGATGACAGACAGGGGAGCCAGGTAGATGTTGGCAAACAGCACAGTGGTGTAGATCTTCCTCATTTCTCGTTTTGGCCAGTCTTCCCGGCACCAGTAGACTGGGCTGGTTTTATTTTGGGAGTTGAGTCTCACTCGGAAATATTTATCTTCTTGAATACGTAACATTATTGCAGATGGAAACATAATGGTGATGGCCAGGACCCAGATGATCACAATAGTGACAAACGCAGTCTTGATAGTGAGCTTTGGTTTAAAAGGGTAGACGACACACCGGAACCTACAATCAAAGGCAATATCAGTGAGGCTTTGCCTCATAACTTATAACTGAGTTGTGAATTAACTTTTTTAAATAATTACATTCTCCCACCCACCTTCCCCTCAAAAACATAGGAAGTTACCATTAGTAGTAGAAAGGCATGCATTGCCATTTTCTGTAATTGATAGTTGAGATAAATTTCAATTCAAAATATGAATAAGGGGAGTACATCAGACACTATTAGTAATAAAAGTAATAGTGGTAACTAGCATATACTGAACATGAACATTTAATATTCTATTCCAGGTTCTTTCCCAATGGTTTGCATCAATTGTTTCTTTAAGCTTCCCCATGTAAAAGATGGGAAAACAGGCTTAGGAAAAAATCTTGCCCATAATTACACATGATTTTTACACAGGTAGTTTGACTCCAGAGCTCATATTCTTAAACTCTCCTTCATGCTCTTCTGTGGTTCCCTCCAACACCATCTGTGTGCTTGGCCATACAGCTTGCTTTGGTCAAACATTAGCAAGTGTGACATAAGCAGAAACAAGAGTGATTTCAGCTACAAGACACAGAGCAGGAGCCCCACACAGAGGCACCTAGCCAATCCACAGCATTGTGAGAAATAATAAAGCACTATTGTTTCAAGTCACTAAGTGTTCTGGTGGTTTGTTTAACAGCTATAAGTCTGAGAGTTTCCAATTTGAGTTCTGATTCTGTGTCTTCCTGATGTTCTATGTCCTTTGGTGAGCTTGGAAATTCAGCTTCAGTATGTAGAGTAAGTCTGATTCATTTTACTGCTATTTTGGTATTGTGATTCTTGATCTTGTTATTATTGATACTCATTATATTAATCATAAGATAATCATAACATTTTGCAACTGTGTAACATTTTGTATTTTTCAAAGTACTATCACCTACTTAATCTTCTTTGATTTTTGTGAAGACTCCATAAAAGTGAAATGTTATGAAAATTACTTTCCAGATAGTCGAATAAGGAAATTTAGAGTTTTTAAGTGGCTCAGCAGTAAATCCAAAGTAATTTATCTGACATATTGTCATATAATGACCAGTTAGCTTGAGCTTTCACTGCTCTGGTTTCCTTCTTAGGAACTCCTTCACTGCATGTCTAAGATCTTCTGTCTTAGCCTCCACGTTTCCCTCTAGTCTTCTAATTACTGAATTCTCCCATTTACTCACCTTTAAATTACAGGTAACTTCACAGGCAGGGTTCTGAGTATTTTGCTCTTTTTTTTAAACCAACTACTAGGACTTCAACTATTATTTTTTCATTTATTCATTTGACAAATGTATATGTATTCGGAGAGGCAAAGATGAACAAGATAGAAAATGCTCCCTACCAGGAAATAGTCAATGGAAATATTGTGTAATTATGCTAAAATCATGCTAGAGTTTGGACTTGGCCAAGGCCTTAATCAGGGTTGTACCAACAGGACGTATAAATATATAGAAAGAAATTTATTGTAAGAAATTGGTTCATGTGATTATGGAGGTTGAGAAGTCTCAAGATCTGCAGTCGGCAAAGTGAAGACTCAGGAGAGCCGATGGTGTGTTCCAGCTCCAGTCTGAAGGCCTGAGAACCAGGAGAGCCACTAACACTAGTTCCAATCTGAAAGCCAGCAGGCTCAAGACCCCAGAAGGGCTGATGTTTCAGTTGAAGTCCAAAGGCAGGAAAAGACTGATGTCCCAGCTCAAAAAGTCAAGCAGGAAGAGTTCTCCCTTCCTTGCAGGAGGATCAACCTTGCTTGTTCTATTTGGGCCTTCAACGGATTGGATAAAGGCCCACATCAGGGAGGGCAATCTGCTCTACTCAGTCTACTGATTCAAATGTCAGTCTCATCAAAGACACCCTCACAGGCACAACCAGAATTGTTTGACCAGATATCTGGGGACCTACAGCTCAGTTGAGCTCAGACATAAATTAATCATCACAGCCATTTAGAAAAAAGTCTCAGTATCCCATCTCCAGCAACAAAGAATAGTGGCCTGGTTCAGGACCAGTTAGCAGACAAAACTGATGGGACTTTAAGAGTAGCTAGATAGAAGTTGAAGAGAGAAGAACGTTTCAAGGATAAATCTTAAGATTTTCAATTGTTTTGGGTGAGTTATCCAGCCATTCACTGATTGGGGAAAATGAGCTGATTTTTTGTTGAGATTTTTTGTGGGGATGGATAGCGAAGACAAATTCAGTTCTGGGCAGGTTTAGTTTGAGGTGTTTGTTGGATGCAGAGGTGAAGTTATCCAGTAGGTATTTTGAACATAAGTATAAAATCCAGGAGAAAGACTTAGTCTGGAGAAATAGGTTTGAAAGCTTTTTTGCAATTTGGCTTTATCCCAGAGATGATCTGAGAAAAGCATTCAAGGGCAAGTACTTTGGATAGAGATAAATGTGTGGTGATTTTAAAATATGCCCAAATTTTTGACACTCCTTCCAAATTCTATTCCCTTCTCTTTGAACATGGGCTGGACTGAATGACTGACTTCTCATGAATAGAAAGCAGAAGTGATACTGCATGACTTTCTTTGGCACAGGCCCTCGGAGTCTTGTACTGACAGGTAAGAAGTCCAGCTACCTTGAAGCTGCTGTGCTGCAAAGCCCATTGGGAGAAACCAAGAGACAGAGTGCCAGAGAAGCCCCAGCTGTTCAAGTCTTCCCAGCCTAGGCACCATCATGAGAGTGAGAGAGCCTTCCGCCCTTCCGCCCTGGCCTTGGAGCTCCCTACGTGATGCTGAGTGGAACAGAGACAAGCCATGCTTAGTGAATGTGCCCACATCACAGACTCTTGAACATAATAAGTATTGCTGTCACTTTAGACCACTAAGAGGTTTGTTTTGGGAGGTTACACATTATATAACAATAGATAGCTGAAACTATGGAGGAGTGATACATGGATGGGAAGGCAGATAGTAAAGGGTGTGAATTAAACTACCAGTCACAGCAGGGGACTATATTTTCATCACTTTTTAAAAGACATGAAACATTACAGATGCAGTTGAAATTCTCTTGGTAGATCTTCTCAATCTTTTCCTCTTCTTCTTTCCCCAGAAATCCTAAAGTTGCACCTATAACATTTTAAATTTTATATAATGGCACCATATTATATGTATCATTATGTAACTTCCTTTTTGAGATTGTGTGCTTTTGAGATTTATGTATTTTTATATATGTTTATCTAGTTCATTAATTTTAACCACTGTACAGTTATCCATCAAATAAATATAGCATGATTTATTTATTATTCTAACCCTCATATACTTTTTCAAATGAATAGCAATGTTTATTTCTAAATCTCTTTATAGGAGGCATGCTAGAAACAGCGAAAAAGAAATGTAGGGATATTTAATACTACCTGTGGTGTGGAAGTAAATCTGATAAGCTCAAGATTCAAGTAGGAAATGCAAAAGATATTACAGTTTTTTATTCACTGTAAAGATGACAAGTATTATTATATAATTAAAGTACAGAATTTATTATAAACATTCCCATCCAAATAACTTAGTAGTAGAACTACTTACTAGTATACAATAAGTATTAGCATAAGGAGTATGTAAAAAATAATTGAGTATAATAGTAGTAACAGGGTATAGTAAGTTGGGAAATAATTAGCTTGCAAATTTTAATGCAAAAAAAATCTTTGGCATATAGTGGTTAGCATATGTTTAAATTCTGTTCTCTTCTCCTGTAAACCAGATAAAGTAGATCTACATGATGAATTCTTGGAAATAGATTAAAGTGTTGTAAATAATGATGCAAATAATAGATTAATATTAAAAATAGAATCTACCAGGTTGTTTTTTGGATGGCGGCAATTCTACTGCATTTCATGTTATTTTTAAACACGCTCTCTCTCTATTATATATGCGTTATTGATTGGTTGTTTTCTTTTGGGACCAGTTTCTTCATGTAGGGAGACATCTTCCAGGTCATTGTCCAGTTCCCCTCTCAAATCTCTCGCTGTCTGCTTTTTTTTAACGTAGAGAAGCTGCTTTTACTTCAGCCCAAGGGAGACCATGTGAGCTGATTTTGTTTGTTTGCTTGTTTTGGTGAGGAAGATTGTTGCTGAGCTAACATCTGTGCCAATCTTCCTCTATTTTGTATGTGGGACACCACGACAGCAAGGCTTGATGAGTGGTGTGTAGGTCTGCACCCAGGATCCAAATCCGTGAAGCCTGGGCCACTAAAGCAAAGGGCATGAACTTAACCACTATATCACTGGGCTGGCCCTCAAATATCTCTTAATTGCCATTGCCACTGTCTTAATAGATGCGTACATCCTCTCCCATCTGAGTGGTTACAAAAATTTCTTATCTGCTCTCCCTTTCTCTAATCTTACACAACTCCAAAACCTTTCTACCTGTTTCTCTAAAATGAAAATATAGTCACTTTCCCCCTGTTTGAAAGACTTCAGCAACTCCCTGTTGACTTCAGGACAAAATTTAAACTTCTTAAAATGGAGATAAGCCCAGAAAATCTACTTCTTGCCCCTTTCTATGGCCTAATGTGCCACTCCACCTTCCTATGTTCCAGTTGAACTGCCTCTCTGCACATCTTTGGACACAGGCCCCTTATTTAAACTGGCCTATATATGTTCATGTCTTAAGAGATGCCCTTTCACCTACATCACTCATCTGTCAGTGGCCATGCTGTGGTGGCGGCTCATATACAAAAAGAGGAAGATAGGCAGTATATTTTAGCTCAGGGCAAATACTCCTCAGCAAAAAAAAAAAAAAAAAAAGATAGAGAGATACCCTTCCCCCAGTTCTTCCTAAGGTAAATTTCTGATCCCCCAAGATTTGGACAGATATCAACTCTTCTGTGAACCCACCACTCCTGTCCTGACCAGTAACTTGATCGCCCTCTCCTTTGCACAGCTGCTATATCTTGGACCCATAGTAGGAGTGTCATTTGTAAATATTTGTTAATGTGTCTGTCTGCCTCTTCCACTTCGCGGACTTTTTGAGGAACACTGTGGCTAATTTGTTTTAGATTCTACACAACCCAGCCCAAGACCTGGCACAACTCAACAATATGTGTAAATGAATGTATTAATGAATTTTATCTTACAATATGGATAAAGTTTCAGATTTATTTCAGCATGTTTACATTTCCATCATTAGAAATTTCAAGATTCCAGTGTGGAAAACAGTAAAATTACACTATTATGGATTATATATTTGTGTCCCTTCAAAATTCGTCTGTTGAAACCCTAACCCTCAATGGGATGGTATTAGGAGGTGGGACCTTTGGGAGGTAGGTAGATTTAGATAGGGTCAAGAGGGTGTTCTCACGATTGAATTAGTGCCCATTTAAGAAGAGAAAGAGACTAGAGCTCGTGCCCTCTACCATGTGAGGGTACAATGTGAAGATGGCTTTCTACAAATCGGGAAGAGATCTCTCACCAGACATCGAATTTACCAGCCTCCTGATCTTGACCTTCCCAGCCTTCAGAGCTGTGAGAAATAATTTCTGTCGTTTAAGCCACACAGTCCATGGTATCTTGTTACAACAGCCTGAACTAAGACATGTATCATCCCTAATTATTTAATTTTAAAATATGGACATTTCCTTAGTTTTATTTTCTTCTTACTGAACCTTTAGTAAATATAAGCCTTGCTTTTAAAGGAGTAGATATTATGGATACAATTTTGTGTAGATATACCGAAATTTAGTAGATTATACATTTTTCTCTGGTTTGTTGGATTTGTTGCAGACCTGCCCCTTTTTCTGGATTCGGGTTTCGGTGCTGACTTACCTATCCACTGCTATTGCAACTAAAGTGAAGACAGAAGTCGCAACTGATACTCCCTGGACAAAGCCACTGATCTTGCACATTGTGCTTCCAAATGGCCATCCTGAAAGGCAAATGGAACAGTTAGTCTCTGAAAAGATCATATTTTTTAAAACTTTCACTGAAAATATGAACAAAAAGGCATGAAATCAAGACTGATACAACTGTTTCATAAATGATATCCAGGGAACAATGTTTCCCATTACTTTCATCAATATTGCCCTGGCCGTTTTTCAGCATACTAATAATAATGTCACAACTTTATAGTAGTTATGACATTCTAGGCACTATAATAAGTGCTTGCCATCTATGAACATATCTAATCCCCACAGCAGGATTTTGAAGGCTTTATTTTTCTCCTCATGGTATAGATTAGGTAACACTCACACTAATATCACATACCTTGCCATACAGCTAGTTGGCAGCATATTAAGAATTTGAACCCTAGCAGTATGGTTCCAGAGTGCAAACCATGAGCCCTTGTGCAATTATGCACTTTTTTTAAAATTTTTTTTTCCTTTTTCTCCCCAAAGTCCCCCAGTACATAGCTGTATATTCTTAGTTGTGGGTCCTTCTAGTTGTGGCATGTGGGACGCCGCCTCAGCGTGGTTTGATGAGCAGTGCCATGTCCGTGCCCAGGATTCGAACTGACAAAACACTGGGCCGCCTGCAGCGGAGCGTGCGAACTTAACCACTCAGCCACGGGGCCGGCCCCAACAATTATGCCCTTTTAACAAATAAAACAGGAAGAATATTGGTTTTATAATTTGGAAATGCACTCTATAAATTATGAGGAATCAGGAGTTACATGTAGAATAAATAAAGTTAATATTTATCTATATATAATGTAATGAGACAATTTACCTCAGAGGTACTTTGTATGGAGTGAATGTTTGTGCTGCGCACCCCTCCCCCCAATTCATATACTGAAGTCTTAACCCCCAATGTGATGGCATTTGCAGATGGGGCTTTTGGGAAGTAATTGGGTTTAGATGAGGTCATGAAGGTGGTGCCCACATTTTGGGATTAGTGCCCTTATAAGGAGAGGAAGAGAGAAAGAGAGATCTCTCTCTCCAGCACATGCACTGAGGAAAGGCCACGTGAGCACACAGCAAGATGACTATCTACAGACCAGGAAAAGGACCCATATCAAGAACCTGACCAGGTCAGCTTCCTGATCTCAAGCTTCCAGCCTCCAGAATGGTGAGAAAATAAATGTCTTTTGTTTAAGCCCCCCAGTCTATGGTATTTTGTTACAGCAGCCTAAGCTAAGACATACTTCGAGAATAAAGACAACTTTACATAAATAAAAATAGTGTATTCCAGTTACTGCCTAATTGAAACTCAGTTACCAGAATGTTTATAAAAGATATTATTAAAAGTATTATAACAGTTTAATATTCTAAACTCCCATCTGCTATTACAGCAAATAATATTCCTCCACTAGCAAATATTCTATTTCCCCAAAGATAAATGCTGTGTATTTCTCAGATTTTTAAAATTTAGCTCTTAAAAATATCCTGGAATTCATTTAAAGAAAATATTCTTATCTAGTTTAAAATATCCCCAATAACCTAAATAATCCAACTATATATATCTAAAAAGGCCATTTTATTATCTCTCCAGATCATCTTAAAATAGGTGCTTGAGTGACTCTACTGAATAGAAACTAGAAGAGAGTGTGTCTTTCCAGTCCTAAAATTTGTCTGGCTGCTATAGTATTACTTTTCAACAAAAATGCAAAAAGGAGTGTATATAGCCATTGGTTGAAAATTGAAGAACAAGCATATGATTGATCTCGTCTCCCTCACTAACCTCCACTGAAATGACAGCACAGGGACAAAAAGAACATAAATCCAGAGAAACCGAGGGACCACATAACTACTGAATGTAAAGTTGAGAAAACAACACGACTGGCTGAATTATGTATAAATGCAATCAGATGCCGCCAGCTTTTCCCTGGGGAGGGGCAGAAGCATGAAAGTTACTCTCTGAGAAGGCGGAAGCAGAGGGGCTCTAGACTCTGAGTCACCACGTGCAGGTGGAGTAGGGGCCACAATGATGTAGAAGGATTAAGTGAAAATATATGCTCCGCGTGCAATACCACTGGCCCAGAGAGCCACTCAGCTCCAGAATGAAGCAGCCAGCCTTATATTCCTTTAGCAGTAAGGCAGAGAATTTCCTTCTGGAGAAAGTGATCCTTCCAAGAACACTGACATGCAGATTTTGACAGTTGTGGATTTCCCAGTGAAAAGTCCAGACTAACGAAGCTGAGAGTGGGCCTAACCTCAAACCCCGAGCATGCAGAGGTTCAAGACAGCTATGCAGTGCTTCACTCTAAAACACAAGCAGCTAAGCAACAATTGATGTTAGGGAAACCTCAAATATGAAAGAAAGAGACTAAAACAAATAGAAAGAAAGAAACTTAGGGGAAAACCAATATGAATCAGGTAGATGAAAAATGACAAACAAACGAAAAATTATGACTAATAACCTCAGAGATTTAACACATTTTATTCATGAAACATGTGCACGATAGTACGAAGAACATGCAGAACATAAAAATAGCTCAAAGAATTTAAAATATGATAACAGAAATGAACAACCCAAAAAAGTCTAGAAGAGAAAGTGGACAAAATCTTTGAAAGTAGAACAATAAGGAGCTGAAAATGGAAGAGAAAAGATTAATAAAAGGGTAACCCAGGACCTCCAATATCTGACTAATACAAGTTGAAGAAAGGAAAATGGAAAAGAACTCTACAAGAAAATTCCCCAGCACTGAAGGGCATTCTATTGTTGATTGAAAGGACCTAGTTTGTATCTAGCATAATTAATGAAAATAGAAAGACTTATCCAAGGCCTAATTGCCTGACATCCAGAACGCTGGGGATAAACAGAAGCCCTAAGAGCTTTCAGGAAGACAAACAAAATACAAATCATGAGTAAAGAAGCAAGAGTCAAATGACATTAGATTTTTCAGCAGTAACACCAGGTTTCTCAGCAATAATGACAAAGCAACCCTCTAAATATTTTGAGGGGAAAAAATGTCCAGCCTTGAATACTTTATACAGATAGGTATAATCAAGTATGAGGGCAGAATAGAGATATTTGCAGACATACAAGATCTCAAACATCTTATCTCGATGTACTCTTTTTTAGGAAGCTAACAGAGGAATTAACCACGAAAGAAGAAGACAGAACTCCAGAAAATGGGATTGAGCACAACGAAAGGTGAAAAGAATTATTAGGGTCTCAGTAAAGGGACATCCCAGAGCAGTAGCTGAGCTCCATGCCTGGAGAACGAGGTGGCTGGGTAGCAACAAGAGGATAGAGAGCTCCTGGGGGGTATCTCCAGGAAAGAGATGCAAGTTACAGGTTACCTGATATGTTTGAAGGTATTGATAAGAAATTGACATTCCTAAAAGAGAACTTGAGGATACATTGCTGATAGGTAAACATCAAAAACTAAGAAAATCAAAATATGATGTCCTTATTAAATCCAGGGAAACAAAAAACACTTTACAAAAGAGAGATTGATATCTACCTCTCTATGTGGCTCAGCAGGAGTAAGATAGATATAATAATAGGAATGTATACTTGGAATATTGATTTAAGCAAAGACTATGATATAATTATATTGAGAGAGGAGATAAAGAGCGTGAAAAACATATTTGTGTTATGAAGTAGAAAAGGATTATGAAGACTAAATTACATTTTTTACAGTTTGAAGATAATATATTAGAATGAAAACACGCTCTTTAGAAATATGGTAGTAATTAACAAAAATAAAGGCAAATAATGCTGAAAGTGGCTGCCTCCTGGGAATGGGAATCAGGTAGAAATTTTTAAATAATAATTTAATTTAGGTATGAATGTTCATGGGGAAATGTCGAGAGCATTTCTTATTGGTGAAATAAGTTTCTTGAGAGCAATAATAATAATTTTTATTAATTATTTCACGCTTTTTTGTCTAAATGTACATTCTTGATATTGTTTTTAATGATAGACATCACAAAAACACAGAATCTATGCAGGGCATGATAGAATAGGCACTATAAACTCTCCCTGGCCCCACTCCAGAGAAAAGAAGGAAACAGAGGTAAACTCTAAAGAGAAACCTCTTATTCTTCAGTGAACTGATGCTGAATGCTACAAAAGGCTAAGAACTAGGATATGGCTCATGTTGCTCTAAATGTTATTGTTATGCTGCTATTGTTTCGTATCTTTCTTATACAAATTTGGAATATGAATATCTTGGGTACTATTCATTAATTAATGCAAACAATATTTATTGTTGCTATGTACCAAAACTCTGTCAGGAGCTGGAGATACACTGTTCTGTACTTCCAGAGTGTCTAAGGTAGTGCTAAAGAAGTAGTAGTAACGTGAGCCCAGAAGCACTTTAGGGTACCCTAAAGTACCTAGCCATTATTTATATTGCATATGCAAATTACCACTGATGAAACTGTCGCCTTTTGAGAAATCATTGGGACTGCTGCTCCATCTTCCATCAAAAACTGTTGGAACTCTCCCTAGCTAACCACAAAAAGGCCTAAATATCTAGTTATGTTAGATTGAATACATTGCATCAATTGAAAACAGACTTACCAGTTCCTTGAACTTTACAGTCCATAATATTCTCAATAATATTACTACCACATTGCATGTGCCCTGAACTGTATTAAGCAAATTCAAGATCTTTGGTAAGAAGTGCCAGATCTCATTCTCTGATGCCCTTCAGTGAACACTATAAAAATAACAGCCTCCACTCTTCATCTCTGTCACTTGCTTTATTTTTCTCCGTAATTCTTATTATTCTCTGAGTACTTGTATATCTATTTGTTTATTGTCTTTCTCCTCTTTTAGAATGTTGACCCCATGAGAACAGGTACCTGAGCAGTTCTTAGAACTCCATAAATACTTGTGAATGAATTGGTGACACTGCCATGGCTGCAGAGACATGGGACAAACATTTCCTCATATCACCTTTGCACTGCACGCAAGTCAACATACCTGCTATAATATTGTCCAGCAGCGTGACAGGCATACAGAATATGCCAACTAGTAAATCACTTATTGCCAGGTTCAGGATGAAGAGGTTAGTGACTGTTTGCATATGTTTGTTCCTCATGACAATAAAGCAAACCACTGTATTTCCCACCATGCACAGGAAGAAGATCAGAGAGTAGGAAATAATGAAGATTGCTGCCACTCGAGGCTCATAAAGATAGTAGTTTACATAGAAAATATTGATATCTGAGTGCTTGGTGTCATTGACACTCCAAATGTGATGCCAGTTTTCTGAAGAGTTTGAGTCCCATTTCTCCGTCATGATGAACCTGAACAAAGGAGAGGCAGAAAAGAAAAAGCCCAATTAGAAACCAGTAGGATATAAATTCTGTGCCTGAGTTTCAGAGGGGCCCTTTCAAAATCCTGTGGAATTTTGTTGGGCCTTCTAAAATAATCCTTAAATTTTGCATGGAACTAAGTTATAAATAAAGTATTTGAATTATTAGGATTTTAACCAAGAGCATTTGAAAATTCCACATTGTGCCATAAGTAACAATCATTATTATATTTTATTTCCACAATATACTCTTATTTCACCTCTTTCTCATATCTTCTATTCATTTGCAAAGTTTCAAGGGAAATTTTGGAAAATTCCCCTGTCTCCTACCTCCAGATATTGTAACCCGTCAAGACCTACTTGCTCTATTAAGGCTAACTTACGTGCCTCTAACTTTCCTGATAATTTGAACAAGATGAGGTATCTACATCTTCAAAACTCCCACTGAAATAAGCTTATTGTATTTTCCTGATCCTGTTTTGGCTCAGTTAATTGAATATTCTTTTTAAATACTTCTGTATGCTGAAGTCGCCATCGTACTGTGAATTTCTTAAAAGAGGTCTAGGTTACTTGTCTTGGTTTCATAATTGGTTAGCTTATATAATTCCATTTACATAACATGTAGTCAATAAATATCTTTATGTAGAATCTGTATATCTTAATGTGGATATTTCAATCAACCTTGTGTGTCAGAGGTCCCAGGAACACTCAGGTTTGGTGATTTACTAGAAGGACTCACAGGACTGAGCATATAGTGTATTCACAGCTAATACTTATTATAGCGAAATCAGCAAATAAAAAGGCACATGGGGTAAAATCTGCAGGAAACGAGGCATGAGCTTCCAAGAGCCCTCTCTCAGAGGAGGCACGTAGGGCATGCATAATTTTTCCAGCAGTGAGTTTGACAATGTGTGAACTGTTGTCCACCAGTGAAGCTCATTAGAGACTCAATGCCCACGGTTTTGAATTGAAGAGTAGTCATGTAGGCACCTTCTTCCCAGCACGTATCAAAATTTCAGACCCCTAGGTGGAAAGTCGGCACGCAGCATGAGCTGTGCTCTTTGTACAAACAGACTAGGCATAGTGAGCCACTCATCATTTAGGGAAACTTTATGTCAGTATAAATGACTGTTCGTGATTTAAGTTCCCAGACTCTAACAGGGCCAACCTCGCAAGCAGGCCTTTCTAAACACAGCAGTCCTAGGCCTTCTTGTTAAGTCTTTTTTGTGTGCCTTTTAAATTAGTAGGACAGAAGGTTATATGTATCTTTAAATGAAAATGAATTTGACAGTGGACTTATACAGCTGATCTCCCATATTCTCTTTTTTGAAGTAGTCTCATGGACTTTGAATCAGTGAGGATAAATTCAAATGGATCTCTACAGGTAGATAATCAGACCCTAGTTTTCAGAAGACTGAAGTATTTAGTGACCTCATCATTACTTTGCACTTTCCAATCTTTCACTAAGTACACATTTGTATCATTTTAAGGGAGTATGTTTATTCTTGTAAATACTGCATAAGGACTAAGATATGTATTATTCACTTGTGATACGCAACTTTAGGTAGTTTTCTCTTCGTATTTTAGGTACAGAAAAGAGTAAACAAGATAAGTTACTAATATAAAATAAGTTGATAAAAGGGGACTACTTTTCTCCATTAGCTCCCGTTATTCTGCCATTTTATTTCTTCCCTTTCCTCTAATCTTAAAAATCATCTCTGCTTTTCTGTATTTCATATCCCTAAGCCCAAATAAAAATGAAAAATGAAAAGCAAAGTGAGTGTGGGATGAGGTGAGGGTTTGGAGAGGAAAAAGAGAAAGGAATTTGTGTAGGACTAGATGTATTGTGCTATACAGAGTCAAGTTGGGAATGTCTTTGTGGCCCAGAACCTGACATTGAGAATACTTACCAGCTGGATAAAAATCATTTCAAAGTCTCCAAAAGTAGAGCATTCACACAAATATTTGAAGATATTTGTACCTGAGGCAAGGAATCACTAGAAATACAAATGAGAACTAGGTAGCTAAAAGTTATTGGTAAGAGACATCTGTCCGTGGATTCAGTTAGAGCTGGAAAACATAGGAGTAGAATATACCATAAGACATAATGCTTTATATTTGCACATTCTTTTTTTCTTATACCCTAGCTTAAAGCAACCACATGTTTCCAAAGAAGATATGCATCCATGGTGTATCTGTTGAGATAAGGCTCTTAGGAAAGTTGAGATGGAACAAGATTTTCAAAACCAACCTGCATATTAACTAAACTCCATGTCACTTGCCTGAGAGAGAAGTGTCTCTTTTCCTCTTCTTCTGTTGAATTATTGAAACAGTAAAAGTAGATTTTGTTTTGGGGGCCAACACAGATTTCACTATTCCTATTATTGACTTGATAACTATATTCGGCAAGACAGCACACAAAATGCAATACAGAGAGTCAACCAAAGAACGTGTAGTATTTAAGTGTCCTTTCTTTCTGACATGCAATTGCAAAATTTTTGTATGTGAGGTCATAGCTTTGGCCATTAGATTGACTTATAATAATATAACTTTGGGGACAACATCATCACCCATGGTATTACTGTAGTGAGACAGGGAAAAGCCAGGTCCTGATTGATCCTAGGGAGGCCCACTTATTTCAGTTTAATACATCAAGGACAACTGCCCTTTGGTATTCATGCATCTGGCATCTTTCTGACTGGGCATTTAAAAATTCTATACATTTGATTAAAAAGATTTAAATGAAATCAACCTTTGGTTGAATACCTTTAAGACCAGAATTATTTAGAGTGTGCTCTGCAAATCATATTAATTGTGTAGATGAAATAATATAAAGAGTAAGAAAATTGTGTATACTAGTTGCAGGAAGGCAAACTTACACTCTGTCCTTACTGATGATTCAATGGTTTTGGAATATTTCATTAAAAACATGTGACATCTTTTTTAATAACAGAAAGTCTGAACTTTACAAATTAGTGTTTTACATACTGAGTAAATGAATGGTAAGCATGAGCCATTTTACCACTAATTAGTCTTATATTTTTTATTTCTACATGAAAAATTATGTGATAAATAAAATACTTGGTTGTGGGCTTTCTTTACCATTCCTTCATCTTCAACTCCAGAGAGGAAACAGAGAGGCTGGACTGCATGAGCTCTATTGAGAACCCCAAGTTACCACAGTTCATTCAGACCCTTACTCTTACCTTTAGAAACAAAGTTGAGGTTTTCAGGAAGAGAAGTTAGGGGAGGAAGTCATCTGAAAATTTTACCTGCCTGGAATCACACTTACCAAAACACTAACAGTGGACTACTCTGGGAGATAGAATGGTTGGACATTGTTATATATTTTTTTGCTTATCAATATTTCTCAACTTTTTTCCTGTTACAGATTTTTTTATTATCTAAAAAAATGTATTATCATATCATTATCTGAATCGCACTGTGGAGAATAAAACCAGATGCCTTAGCTTAAGTTCTTCTTATAAATTTACAATTATGGGAAGTCAAATACTGGCTAGTAATAGTATTATTTTACCTAAAATAGATATGTCTCCCAAATTTCAGTTAGGAAAGAACCCATAAAGACTCTAACCTATTAGGTTTAAATGTATAGTTTCATACATATCATATAGAGAACTGGTCATCTGAAAGAAGAGTTTATATTCTTTATTCTTGCATCAAACACTCAATTAAAGGGACCAAGCCGATAATAAACCGTGGGCTACCTAGACTGCCAGACACAACAAAGTCAACTATGGCCAATACTCTTTGTTTTTGTCATCTTCTCTCCTTGGGCTTTCCCTATTGCCTCTATTATTAATGTTATTATTATTAATTTTACTGTATTCTTCATTTTTTCCCTTTTTACCTCCATGTATTTATACAAGGACATAAGGACAGGAAGATGTCAGTATTTACTTCACCTATGTTGGATTATTTAAACTAAACTTTGATGATTATCATTAAAAGCTATTACAGTTATTAAGTAACCAATTTAATAATTCTGAATCAAGTAAATTAAATACAGTTATGACACCTTAGATTGCTAAAATAATTGAAAAGGAGAGACAGGGAAAATGGCAAGGACGGAAATACTGTAACGACACATACTCAAACTGAGAGTGAATCATTGGCAACAACTATGAGACATATAGTAATAATGCCTAATATTTAAATTTTCTAATCACTCTCGAATATATCACCTTAGGATATCAGTATCATGGAGCATAAGATGTCCCTCCTTTTTGCACCCCTTTTAACAACTAAAATTCAGCACCTATACACAAACAAAAGTGCCTCTGTGGGAGTTGTGGGATCTAGCACCAAACGTCAAGGGACCTGGGAGGAGTCTTGCCCACCTGTGCATCGCTTAGTAGTCAGAGGGCCCTCACTTGGGCTGTGGAACCAGCAGGAGCAGGTGAACTGGCCCCGCCCTTCTCAGCCACAGTTGGGGAAAACCTGGAGTGTGCTGAATTGGGAAGACACCTATGCGTGAGGGAGACTTTGTAGAAGTCCAGGTTTCCTGAGGAGAGATTCCAGTTCTCCGTTGGAGAAAAAATAGAGTTTGGAAGCATTGGAGAGGGTAAGAGGACTTTGGCGTGCCATCCTGTCAGATCTGCTGCTGATTAATGGCCAATATTTGGAGAAACCCTTGGACTTCTTTTGTTTGAAGAAAGAAGATTGGGTTCCCATGAATCTGTAATCTGAAGAAAAGAAGAGATGTGTTTCCCAGAGTGATACTGCAAGTTTTACTAATATCTGGTGTGTCAAATGTCTGCCACAGCTAAATGGTGTATTAGAGTGTTTGTAATTTCAGTGATAGAATTAAATGAAGACCAGACTTAGGCAAATGATGCTCCCCAGGATAAGGAAATGCTTTAGGAAGCTGAGCTGAAGCCTCTGACTGATACAAAACCTGTTAAAATTCATTGTCCAGAGGAGGAAGTGAACTTGACTTTAGAGACATTGCACATTCAACAAAATGTCTCC